GACAGAGCAGCTATACTACCGTAAACATTCTTGGATGAAGATTGTAAGGTTAATCAACAGCATCGGGCTAAAGTTTGCCGGTGAAGAATTTTGGCTTTTCCATAAACCATCAGCCAATTTACCGCTATGCTTCCAGCATCTGGCGTAATGACGCCTTATTTCTGATTCAGGTCAAAATCTCAATTCTTCCAGAACCCCCGCTACCAGGGTCACCCATTGCCATGACTATAAACACGAGATTGATTTCCGGCACAGCAAAATTATACAAGAACTCTCGATTACGTTATAGGGGTCGAAGATCATGAGCATATATATGAATATGCGTGTACAGGGTGGCCGAAAATTACGGTAAAGAACCTGTCGCTGGCAATCTTCCAACACCAGGAGTTTCTGATGAACACTCTACGCATCCATTTGATGACTTAGTGTTCCATCTTCGAGTTCGGCACATGAAATACATCAATTCCGGGATACACAGTTTTTGCTACTTGCAAAACAAACACTAGCTTGCTCCGACGAGCAGTTTGATTGGTTTACATAAGACGGTTCAGATGCTCCATGAAACTTTCGTCGACCACCATCGCGAAGGTTCTTCATGAGCACCACTTCTGCGACTTGGACGTACTGCGACTCTGCGACTATTCTTAGAATATACGTGCGAAGAAGTGCTGGAACACAACTCACTCAATTCGTCGTTCGGACGCTGAAAGTGTCATCATGCAAACTTCTTTGTAGCGCTTCGCTAGCACATAGTTAGGGAGAAGGCTTACAAGAATTACACTGCCTATGTGCAAACCGATGATACCAGAGAACTGAATTGAAAGCAAAGATGGTAGTAGACATTGTCTCGATTTCGTGATGCACTTCTTTCATCGATCGTTTTACCTCTCGCGGAAGTATTCTGTTCTTGGGTCTGTCTTGAATTAGAAGAAAAAATAGACCAATGCTACCGAATTGCTTGCCAGCCATTCAGTGATGATTTCGCAGAAGCATGAGAGCAGAACAGACAATTTTACAATTTCTCAAACATCTTCTGCTTGAGATATAAAATTAGACCGTAGGCCGTTGCCTCTGAATCCTTCAGACGGTGTTGGTGCGTCAGTTCAAGAAAACATTCAGTAGGAAACACAGGTCATCAGAGTAGAATTGAGGCCCCACCCATAAGGCCCAGATTATCCAAAAATTGATGCCAACAGAATATCATGGCGTTGATCATAACGGAGAAGTGGCGAAATGGTTCGCCCAACTAAAGTAACATGAAATGCTCTGTATTGAGTGTGTCGGAGGCAAACCACTAGGTCACCGCTAGGGTGAAAATCGTGTCGAGGAAATGGGCGCGTCTCCACGACCTCCCCCCATAATGGAATTACCCGAACCACCCATTTTACCCTCCGCATCCAGTTTTATAGAAAAAACATGCTAGCTTTGGACGCATGACAGAGAGGCAGCGCTGCTGCCAAGCTAGAATTTAGATCCGACATTAAGTAGTGTAAGATTAGATGACGTTTCCAATAATATTAGGTGTTAATGTTAATGTTAATAACTGATGTTAATGCCTTCCTCACCGTTCCACTGCGTCTTGGAACGTAATATTTTTCCGATTTAGCCAGATTATCGCTCTCTGATAACAATTCAGGCAGTTGATTAATAAAGAAGTCTCATTATGTTCAAAAGGACAACCTTTACATGGCACAAGCTCTGTACAGTGAGGCTTAAATAACTGCGGAGATCTTAAGGTGACTCTTGTTGGCTCACTGATGTCTGGAACTTTGGTCTTATCAGTTCTCTAACCCCACCAGCAACTTATGGACAAGGACCGTTAAGCCAAGGCCACACAAAAATCGCCGCACCATTTGCCGCGCGCGACGCTGCCCGCCGCGTGAGCGGCGTGACCTCATTAGCCGACGATTGAATTGACCGTCTCCCGTGCCCACATTATGATTACCGGACTCTTAGACTACCCTATTCCTATAGAAAATCACAAGATCTAGGTTGAATGCGATAGATCCAACGTGTAGTCAAATGGTTTCAACATGTCAGATCTGGGCCATCCTGCAAAACTAATGCCATTTGCCTTGGAGCACAGCAAAATTCAGGTGAGGTAATAACTTGAGGATGCATCCTCTGAGTCTCTCAAGCCTTTCTATAGAAGCTAATCAGCGTACCCTGATCTGCTGGAACCCAAGGTTGTCATGTCTTTGCGGCTGACAACATGGCCGTAAAATGCCGTCAATCCGCGCAAGATTACATTGCCTAGAGCTTCTATATACAGTCGATATCTCGAAGTCTGATTGGGCGTGTCACCGGAAATGACGTGGCAGCCACCGCACTTGATAGATGTTGTGTGGATAAAATACTCCGCCAGATATCAGCAAAGCGTGTTGGAAGCAGCTTATCCGCGCAACTTCTATCAAGTGCGGTGGCTGCCACGTCATTTCCGGTGACACGCCCAATCAGACTTCGAGATTTCGACTGTATGTCGACCCTTGCTGGGCGTTGCGCTAAGTTTTTGGGGAGTATTTTGACATCTTGCTCAGAATACTGTCCCTTTACGACAGTTCTACCTGGACCGCGGCAGTGCGCCTGCCGTAGAGCGCCTAATAGGCAGCACAACCTTCTCCTCGTTATTTTCACCTTTGCGAAGTCTTGATGACCTCAGTCATGATCGAACTACTCAGTCGAGGTCGTAGGTTGCTGCGAAGAATTCAATTTACACTGAGCATCGAAATCCCAAAAAGCGGGTCGTTAATTGGATAAGGAAGGTGAAAGAAGGTCAGATGGCTCTCCAGATTCAACCTACTCTATATGACTTGGAACCATAAATCATTTACGTCTAATCCCGTAGTGGCCTTCTCAACAGTTTTGAGACGTTTCATTCCATCAAACTAATTCAACTAATTTTTACCAACGTATGATGCCCCACATCCTTCGAGCCTCTCCCCATCCCTACATAGGTTTTTTTCCAAACTATAGCTTCAGAGTACATTTCTCGTAACTGCGGAAACAAACGGAAATTCGTATCATAACCGGATTCCGCTCGTTTGCGCCCTGAATCGAGTAGGAGATTTGAATCGGGCGGATTTGCTCGGTGAACACGACTTTGAGAAAAGAGGTAGTGGTCATTTAAGAGCAAAGAATAGAGCATGAATGGAATGGATAGAGCAAAAACGCGCTTTTTAGTGATATGCAAATTATAGCAGCCTGCCGTAAGTTTAGCTGGAACCAATGCATCGAACCTAAGCTCTCAAAAACGGCAAGTTCTTTCCTTACAACCTAAACAGTGCGTACCAAAAGTATGTGGACACCCTGGAATCGATTCTCAGGGGTCAGCTAAAGGCTTTTTGTGTCATGAAACCTTCACCATTCAACTCCTAGTGGTCGATAACCTACAATGACATTTTCGGCAAAAGATTTCGTTCTAATTTAACGAACTTTCTTTTAGGGATTTTTGCCCGTATCAAAATTATGTGGACACCCTAAGATAGATCAGGTTTTTGCACCGATTCCCCAACTTATTTTTACTTTCCCATTCATTCTTTATTCTGCCATCATGCCTCTTCACGGCGAAGCATATTTTTAAAAAGAACAAACACATTAGGACTTGTCATATCGCTGAAGCCTCCAACCGGAAAATCCCACGTCATCCCGGTCGAGCGTCCGTCCTGTTGGAAGCCAGAATCCGCAAAATCGAAATTTCCACAAAAAAAAGGCACATCATGGAGACATTGAACTGAACAGAAAAACACATCACTTTTGCAACTGTATGATTCGAATAAAAAACACTCGGAAATTCTTCTCTCAGGAAACCTGCATTTACGAGATGGAGCTCAAAGGAATCTTCCACGGAAAAAGCTCCGCCTCCATTACCACAGAAAAACGATACCTTAGGCCCCTAGCCTCATGAGCATAGCAAAAAGAACGGAACATAAGCGTTAGTTTCGATAATACTAATCCTACACACAAGACAAAATGATCACTCTTTCCGTGGAAGATTCCTTTAAGGTATCGTTTTCTGTGGTAATGAGGGCGGAGCTTTTTCCGTGGAAGATTCCTTCCACACTGGCTAAACGGGTGGATTTCACCATCATCAGGTGGACAATTTAGGATTACAATGAGGGGCTTGGAACCCGACTACAGCCTTTTTTGAGAAGTCAGCATCGCGAAAGACTTGCTTTGCAGCAGGCCCAAATACTTGTCCATTACACGTGTTCCATTTGGAAAAATGTTCAACGCAAGGAATTTCGGTTTGGATTGGCCAGCACATTTTTAAAACCACATCCTTCCCGAAAACATAGGGATATCGTGGTTTCTGTCTCTACGTCATCGAACGAAAGAATTAATACGACAAGTGACCTAATACGTTGACGAAACCGGCTGGCTAGGAATTGCCGAGACAGGTATCGGGTGCCTGAGAAATACCTATCAAAATGTCATAACTTCTCAGGAGCTTTGATATACCTACCGATTTCTAATTCTGGGGATTTTCTGTTTCATAAAAAAGTCCACACAATTTTGTTACAGCGAAGTTTTCCATCAATAAAAAACATTAAGGTTGCTGTAAAGTAGTGAAAATTGAACAATTCTCAGGTTCTCGCGCGAAAAGTCAAACGATGGTGATCTCATGGCGGAATTCAAAGATAAAAGAAAGAAAAAAAAACAAAGAATATTGCGAGAAATAATGAGAGTTCACATACTTTTGTTAATATAGTTCCCAACATTTGAGTGAAATTAGACTGGAAGCGAGAACGGTGATATAAAAATTGTAATATTTATAGGAGCACGAAAAACGAAAAGGAGGAAAATTGCCTAAATCGATTTTCTACAAAAAAAAGTAATCGAGTAAGGACTGCTGTGACTCTGACATTTGCAAAAAGCACGTGAAAACGGAAGGCCAAAGAGAAATACACTAACCTCCGCGATCACCTTCCGACATCCGCGAGAGCGCGCGACGTGGACTGCCTATTGGGGCACCCTCCGTAGGAGATCGTTTAGCATACGATCTTCCCGTTTCCTGGAAACTAGCCAACTTACAGTAGTAAATGTTGTCAAGTCGAACTGTTACGATGGTAGAAGTGTAATTCTATCTCCCTATCAAGTTGGCTTTTATGATGAACCTTCGAAGAACTAAATGAACTGTGACAATTAAATTAACCAGCTGACCTGTATGAGCGCTTCAAACTGTTCTGTGAAGTTGTTCTTGAGTTCGTCAAGAGTACCAACAGCAACAACCTGAATCAGCATACTTTTTAACCAGAGTTCAAAAACGACCCAACTTTGAAACCTACATCTCCATTTTTCATCAGCAAAACTTTTGTAGCATGATGTAAGAACTGAATCTGATGTGTCACAAGAATACGACTTTGTTTCTCAAATGGCCGCAAATACATCTGAAAAACCCTCGAAACGTTCGAAGAGAAGTTCCGTGGTGCGACCACAAGATCCAATTCTAACAACATACCTGAATACGTCTGACGGATACCCGAACTTCAAAAAAGAACTGCAACGAAAACGGAAGGAACAGAGTGACTGGCAAACAGCATGCGTTGTAAAGGGCAGTCTAAACAACAGTAACAAAACAGGAGTAGCAAAGCGTTGCATATACACAAAGAAACAAAACTTCACTGAAATATGCAAAACTTACAGCGACAAAAATCCTTTCCGCAGTGAGTTCGTTGCCGGTAAAAACGTAACACAAAGCGGCAAAGAGAACAATGAGCTTCCCCGACGACCAAAACAATCCCATTACAAGAGATTGATAGACAGCATTCTGACGTACTTTACGCATTTCACACCTGAATTACATCAGTTGGGAGGTACGCTGTTGTGAATTGAAGAATAACGACGAACGCTTACCTCCTCAAGTCAGCAACAACCTCAGAAAACGCGCCTTCACCACGCATACATCTTAATCACTCGGATACCGTTCAGTATTTCATTCATGATACTAATACGTTTATCGGTACGTGCGGCAATAGCTCTCCTATAAACAGTTTTCTCAATGCTCCGTCTGCTATGTGAATACTTATAAAAAGAAGTGTGTTAAGCCCGTGACAAACCTGCACACTCCCATTTGCCTGCTAAAGTAGCCCTGAATCGGGATTATAAGTAACAGGGCTCCGAATCCTTAAATAAAAGCTAACACTGAGTCAACAAAACTTGGGATCCGCAAAATTACCGGCAAAAGATGATGGTCCAATTTCCTGCCATAGGAAAAAGCTGTAGCCAATTAGCAGCAGTGGAGAAACCCACATGTAATGAAGAAACAAGAAACCCTAAAACAAACAATGCCAAAGGCAATCCGGTAAACAAGCATCAATTTTGAGTGGAGTGAGATATGAAGAGTCATTCACCATATCGAATTTGTTGATATCCGTGGAAAGTAGATTCACCATGTGGCCAACAGTGGTTTTATGCAGAGCGGAACTCGAAAGACGAATACCCTGTAAGATATTCAACATTGATAAGTTTTTAGTAATAAAACGTGTAGTCAATTCACCTTATTTACCAGCATCCCACTAGCAGCAACCTTCAGCTGCAGGCCGACCTTCTGAAGGCCGTAAAAATATGGATGGTGAATAAGCGCAAATAGAGCAGCGGTCATCGCAACTCCTCCAGCAGCTAAAAATCAAAGTTTTAACTGGCACAAAATTCTCCATTGCAAGCCACAACATGTTTACATAGATTTAATAATGGCGTTAGGCTGGTGTCAAACTCGGAGGTAGAAGGATAAAAACGAGGAACGCTGAGGGAGAGAGGGTTCTGGACCTGGCTACAGCCCACGATCTGGCAATCTGCAGCACGTTCTTCGCGAAAAGGGAGACTCAGAAGGTAACCTACAGCAGTGGAGGGAGACAGACGGAAATCGACCATGTGCTGGTAAGAAGATCATCCCTCAAACTGTGAAGGATATCAAAGTACTCCCGGCGAAGAGATGGCCTCCCCAGCACACGCTTCTCCTGGCACTCATTACCGTAAGGCTTGGATAAGAACGCTGGAAGCTGCACCGAGGGGAAAAGGAAGACCTCAAACGAAGGTACTGGAAGCTTGGTCTCCCAGATCCACAGGGACCAGTTCAGCTGACTTGGAGCAATGCGCTGAGATTATCCTGCGATGCGCCAAGGAGGTACTGGGTGAGACGCGAGGTGGAATCAGGGGAGACAAGGCAGTGTGGTTCTGGAACGAGAAGTCCGACGAGGCAACTCAACGGCGCCACCTTGAGGGCCAATTAAAGTCAAGAGTAGGCGAAAGGAGTACTACAGCGCTCTTGAACGAGGAGTTCCCTCCACAAAGACAGCTCGCAAGCAGAGGCAACGGCTGGCCCATCTCACTGTGGACAGAGGATGAGGTTCGTCGAGAACTAGGGAAGATGAAGGTTGGAAAGGCGGTTGGTCCAGATGGGGTGCCAATCGAGGCATGGAAGGCGCTCGGAGAGTACGGGATAGATGGCTCACCCGATTCCTGAACACGGTAACTGCGGAAGGAAGGATGCCTGGAGAACAAGTACTATCGTCCCCATCTTCAAGCAGAAGGGTGACGCGATGGACTGCTCCAACTACCGCGGGATCAAGTTGACTGCGCATACCATGAAGTTGTACGAGCGACTGGTCGACTCGAAACTGCGGGAGCTGGTCCCGATCTCCCAGGAACAGTTCGGGTTCATGCCCGAAAGGTCTACAACGGATGCCATCTTCATCGCAGGCAAGTGATGGAGAAGTATCGAGAAAAGCGCCGACCCTGCTACCTAGCCTTCCTCGACCTGGAGAAGGCGTTCGACCGACCGGCTACCGCGAGCAGTGCTATGGAGGTCGCTCAGGGAACGAAACGTGCCAGAACACCTGATCTCTCTGGTGAAGGACATGTACGAAGGAGCCAAGCAGCCATACGCACCCGCACGGCCTAAGGAGGAACTAAACATCACGGTTGGGGTGCACCAAAAATCAGCTCCGAGCCAGGGTCAGTCCTATCGTTGTTACTTTTCAAAAATTTTTACGACCCCCCTCCCCCAAGGTGGATTTGGTACGACCCCCTTTTCGACCCTCGACCATATTCCTCTCTATAGTATTTAATTCTGGTACCACTCAACCCACCAAACTCCGCCCACTTTTTCCTCCAAAAATGCCGTCGAGCGGGGGGTATATAGTCACTCTGAAACAGTAAAAATTTACCAAAATTCCCTAAATTTCAACCAATTTACCCCACTTCTACCTATAATCCCACTGCTTCATTTTCTAGGGGGTATATACGCGCGCTGAAACGGCGAATTTTTCCCGTGCGCTCCCAACTCACCTAGCCTACTACTCGTGAAAACTCCACTTTCACCACAAACTCACATGTACTTTCACGCGACTGAAGCGGATACGACCCCCCCTCCTATAAACTCAACCAGGTACGACCCCCCCGTTGTTACTAGTAACAACGTAGGGTTGACCCTGCTCCGAGCCCCTTCCTCTTCCTCTCAACATTAGATGTGATGGTGAAGGACCTTATGGGAGGATCACTAAAGACCATACTCTGCGTTGACGACATAACCTTGGTTGACGGACTACTTGAACTCAGTCCCTTTACCGCCTCTGCGCTCTCTAGCGGGTCCCTCTCCTCTCCAAGGCTTAGTCCTAGGGCATTCTCTAATCGTCTGTGCTCTAGCCATCGCGGCAGGACCATTGAGGAAAAATCAAGTAGTCCGTAAACCACATAACCTTGATAGCAGATACAAGTCAAGGCGCATAAATAGCAGAAAGTCCTGGCAGAAGGCGGGCTTCGGCTGGGGAAGAAGACCAAGTTTCTGAGCCGAAGAGGGCACAAAGCCGAGCGTGGACGGGAATGGGAAAAAGCCATCGAAAGAGT